TTTTAATATTTTAACAAATAATGACAAACAACTTTATATAAGTTCTTTACTTTTACGATATATTCTTCAACTTATTAGTAATGGACATGCCATTACAAAATCAAATATATTTTTAAGTAAAAATGATTCTTCCATGATTCAACAAGATATTGTAGCTACAGGAATTTATCCTTCTGCAAGTATAATGAATCATTCTTGTGACCCTAATATAATTAACATGTAATGTTAAAATTTATATAATATATATATACATTTATATATTTTAGTATCTAATATATTTTTATTATTAAATTTTAGTTTTGTAAATCAATATCTTATTGTCAGAGCATCAAGAGATATTTCTCAAGGTGAAGAAATTTTTAATTGTTATGGTACAGTAAAATTTATTTAATAAAATCTATTTTATTATAAATTAGATATTAACTAGTTATATATTGAAATAATAAAACATTTATTAGGTCCACACTACAGACATATGACAACAGAAAATAGACAAAAAATTTTGAAAAGCCAGTATTGCTTCATTTGTAAGTGTAAAGCATGCACTCTACCAAAATTACAATATTTCGTGGTAAATATAAATATAAAAAAATATATTTTTATTTTTTTAAATATTCTAATTAGTAATGTTTGTTTTTAATTAGTTTTAACATATGTTCCAATATATAATTAAATTATAAAATCATATTATAAGATCATCTTTGTAGGAAAGATTTAATGCAATGAAATGTTTAAAATGTAATGGTGCATTATGTAATATAAAAAATTCTACATATTGTTTAGATTGTGATGACAAATCTCAAATTCCACTTTTAAATAAAATAATACAAGCTAATGAAATTTTTCAAATATCTGAAGTTTATATTAACTTAGGTAAACCAGAAAAAGCATTAGATAAATTAGAAAAATGTTTGCATATTAGAAAAACAGTATTGTATAAATATAATGAAGACATAACAATTACATTAAATCTTATGGCAGAAATATATAAAATAATGGGTTTGTGGATATCTTATATTGTATAATTAAATTAAAATTTTTCTAATAATAATATAAAAATAATAATGAAAAATTAATTACTTAAGGGCAATGGATAAATAGTATTATGTGTTTGGAAAATACACTTGCTGCAATTAAAGAAAAATTTGGGTCATTCAGCATAGAACTTCTTAATCAATTAAATAATCTTACAGATATGTGTTTTAAATATTTAGAAAAAGAATTAAATACTAAGAATACAAACACACACAAGTAAGCATCTTTAATTATTAATTAAAAATAATTTTGTAATCATAATATTTATAGTTTTTTTATTACAGGAAAATAATAAAAAAAACTCAAATATTTTTAAATCAAATAGAAGAAATTACAAATCTTAATTATGGTTTTTGGAGCAATATATATAAAGATGTAAAAAAGAAACAAAATCAATTTCTCAATTATAGTACTTATAATTTAAATAAATGAATAAATATACTTTATAAAAATTTATATATTTATTATTTCATAATTTTTATATATTTTATATATTGAATATATTTTTTTTAATAATAATAATAATAGTTTATTTATATCATTAGAATTCTTTACTAAAAAAACATTTTTAATAAAATTTAATTAAAAAATTAATATTTAAAAAAAAACAATTTAATTATCTATTATTGTATCTAAATATTGTACATATATAATTATTTCATTCATATTCAAGTTTGACGAACGCGCTTGTTATATTATTTCATTTAAATAATAAAAAAACACTATAAATATTCTAATTAGTTTACAGATTAAAAAATCAATGTGTATAAATAAATATGAATTTCGTTAAATACTTTTTATTTGAAATTTTAATCTAATATAATTAGATAATTATAATACTAATACTAATTCATAACCAAAAAGTGAAATTGTTTATATTTATATTTATATTATTATTAATAAACATTTAATTTAAAATTATTTTGTAATCGTACTAATGATAATAAACTGAATATAAAAATAACAATGAAAATAACATATAATATGAAAATTTATGAAATATAAAATTATGACAGATAAATATATCTGGCATAATTTAGAAACATCAAATCAATTTTACAGTACATTGCAAAATGTATATAAATTTAGAAAAAAACATTTATTAGAAAAATACAATCAATGTGATTTACAAGAAACTATGATAAATAGTAATATTTATAAATTAAATAATGATTGCTTAATACTTATTTTCCTTCATTTACCAATTGTAGATAGAATTAGGATAGAAAGGGGTATATAATCATATGTAATAAACAATAATTTTTATTGACATTATAATATATTAATATTATATATTAATATATAATATTTTAGTGTGTAAAAGATGGCAGAAAATAAGTCAAAAATCTTGGCATAATACAAAGAAATTAGATTTAAGAAATTATACCTGGGGATTTGCTTCCAATACTAAATTAAAACAAATAAATACAGTTATTCTTAATAAAGTATTATCACGATGTGGCAAATTTCTAAATAAAATATATTTAGAAAAAACATTTTGTGAGGGTAGAGAAAGTGCATTGTCTATTATTGGTAATTTATGTCCTAATTTAGAAATCATTGATGTCAGTTATCTCCAAGTACCTTCATCAGGAATAACATCAATAATAAATAACTGTCATAACATAAAGAAACTTAGTTTAGATTGTATATATCTTTTCGACACAGATTTGGAAAAATTATTCAAAGTAAATCAACAATTACAATTTCTTAAATTAGTTGACATTAAAATATCTGGTAAATGTTTATTACATTTACCATCAAATACAATAAAAGAAATTATTATAAAAAGATGTGATTATGTTTGCGATGATGATGTTGCAGAGGTAAAATTAAAAAATCTTTAAATTTATTTTTATTTTTTTGTTTTCTAATATAATTTGTGAATTTTATATTTAGGCAATTACAAGATTAAATAATTTAAAACATTTTATAATATCAGAATGTTTTGATACTTTGGAAAAAACTACAAAAGCTATTGGCAAATATTCTACAAGATTAGAAACATTGGAAATTATTGGTAAATCTAGTATGTTACAATTCAATGGTATATCACATGTAATTACATTAAGTGATCTTAAAAATTTGAAAGTAAGTGCAAATTGGTTTATTTGCAACTCTATTCTTTGTAAATTAAGTTCACATTGTCAACAACTGATTTACTTAGATCTTAGTGGTAAGTTTGATCATATAAATTTTAAATTTCAAAACTAATATAAATTTTAATCAAAATTATCATCTTCAGATGTTCCAGGTCATTTTATTACAGATCATACTTTAGCAGCTATAGAAAAATTTACGAAATTAGAAATATTGATAACACGTGATTTATATCAAGTAACCAGCAATGGTTTATTACATTTATATAATTTAAAACAGCTAGTGTGTCAAGAATGTAGTTTCTTTGATATAACAATATCTAAATTTATTCAACATTCCTTTCAATTGAAGATATTAGATTTATCTGGATGTCGTAACATAACAAATGTTACATTAAGAAGAGCAGTGATAGCTACTAATTACAGAACTAATAATATTATTTTGAATTTATTTATTGGTGGAACTGCAGTTAACCTTGAAACATTCCAGGAAGTATCACCATTTTTACAAATATATAATAGAGATTCACGTTACAAAGAAATATTTCCATTTCATCCAGATTCTATATTAATATAAATTTCTTATAAATGTATTTTTTTAAATATTTAATTAATTGTATTATAAAAAATATATTATCACAAAGAGAAATAAAATAAATCTATTATTCAATGGATTTTTTGGTCTCAAAATTCAAAAACTTCGAAAATACTAAGAATAAATAATGAAAAAGATAAAAATAGGATAAAAATTGAAAAATCAGCGCCATTTCTAGAGAATGTTATAAATGAAACTAAATATAAATAAGAAGAGAAATAATAGATAAAAGAATAAAATAAGAATTGAAAATTAGTACCATCTCTTGAATACTTCTAAAAAATAATTTCAAAAATATATCTTTGACATAAAAGATGGCGCTAGCAATTAATTCTTACTTTATCTTTCTTCCAGTTTTCTCTATTCTTTTTTTATGAATTTCATTTATGGCACTATAAATATATATATACATATATATACATATATATATATTTGCTTTCCTTGTTTAAACTTATTCAAATTGATACATTCGAAATAGTTCTTATATCTAAGAAACTTTTTTTATAGTATATATATATATATATATATATAAAATATAGTAATTTATATAATATAATTTATCATATATTTCTTAACCTATGATTAAAAATCTTAAAAGACCATTCAATTCAATTTTTATGTTTTTCTTAATGAATATTAACTGAGACGTATATTACGAAAATTAAGTAAGTTCATATAAATATTTTTATATAATTTTTATTTTATATTATATAATATGTAATATATTTTAATTTAAAAAATTATGATTCAAAAATGGCTAACAAAAAAGAAGTTTTTAAAAAAAAAAAGATACAGGATCATATATTAAATAATAAATTATTAAATGATTATAAATCATCTCAAATATTATTAAATGAAACTTCAGAAGAAGTGAATAAAGAAAATGGAGGAGTATTAACACAAAATATTGATGTAAAAAATAATACTCAATATTCAATAAGTGTACGTAAAATTGAAGATTTATGTAAGACTCCAAAAAAAAATGTTGCATTAAGAGATTTAGAAGAAATAAATAATATTAAAATAGAAAATATAGATTGCTCTCAAAGTTTTAATTTAGAGACACATTCAGAAGAATTAGTTTCAAAAAATATTAATTTTTTACCAGAAACATTAACAACATGTAAAAATGAATATTTCTATAATGAGAATATATCTGATAAAGAGATAAAAATAAAATCTAGTAATGATTATAATCAATTATCTAATATGATTAAATCTGAATTATGTTATAATGAAGTAAATGATATGGAAGCTATTGATATGTTGCATGATTCCATAATGGATTTTGAAGAAAATAAAATAAATACAGAATTTTTTTGTTCAACAATGAATGATCCTACACAAATTGAACAAACCATAGAAACATCCCAAGATCCAGAATTTGATCCTCTTTTTATTGCAAATGATGAAAATTCTAATATAACTCCAGAAAATATAACAAGTCAAAAAATAAAACGCAAATGTACTGTACTTAGCCCAAAAATACGAAAAAAAAAATGCCTCAATAATATAAAAAAAGAGAGTGATGTGGAGAATGATTTTATAAATCATATTTTAGGAGAACTAGATATCGAATTATCATCAGAAAAAGAGGAAAATGCTGATGAATTAGATGAATTCCCTAAGGATACATTAAAGGTATATAATTAAAATGTATTTTATGTCAATTATATCATATTATAAATAATATCAATTATTTTATTAACTTATTATTTTTTTAGAGATTATATAATTTAGAAGTAAAATTAATGCATGAAGTACCAGCTCAACATAAAATTGAACATACAGCAGGTACAAAACCATTAACAAAAAAAGAAAAAAAACTATTTTTAGAACAAGGACCACTAAAAAGTGGTGTATTTACACCTAATGAAGATAAAATTATTAAAGATAATTGGAAAGCATTTTGTGAAGTATGTTTGATTAATTTTATATATTTTTTCTAATTTTAATTTTTTGTTTAATTTCATTTTATAATTTTTTGTATTTATAAATGTTTTAAATTTTGTAGATTCATAATTGGAATTCTGAAAATGTAAAACCATTTCTTCAAATGAAAAATAAAAATAAATTTTATATAAGAACCATGGAAGAAAGACAAAAATTTTCTCAATTTTTAGCAAATGGATTACCATGGAGATCACTGTATAGTGTTTATCATAGATTTAGATACTTGTATAAAAACCAAACAAAAAGTTTTCAAAGGTATTATGTTAAATATAATTCAATATAATTCAAATATAATTATTTATCATTATATTATTATAATTCAAACTTAATCATATATTTCTTTTATATATTTTATAGTAATAGATAGTTACTATAATAAAACTAATTATTTGTTTTTTAGGTATACATTAACTGAAGATAAGAAAATTTTGTCTTGTATGGAGAATAAACAAAGTGAAAAAAAACCACATAAAAATTTAGTAAAATTGAGTAAAATATTAAATCGTTCACAACATTCAATTTGGTTACGTTATAAATTACTTACAGAACAGATGAAAAATGATAAAAAATGTAAGTTTTTTAGTGAAGTTATAATTTTTATAATTGAATAATAGAATCTATTTGATTAATTTTTGTTAAAGCGACATCTGAAGTAAAATGGACATTATCATTAATTGGCAAATTTATAAAAACTTTCATGCATATAACATTATGTGAAACAGTGGAAGATTTAAAAGATGCTATTATTCCAAAACCTGTTTGGCAAAAATTAGAAGGAAAACTAAATATAAATTATGAAATACTA